CGGGCGGTGCGAGCCTCGTTTCCTTGGGAGCTGGGAGAAGGCTGGCTGCTCCTTTCGGCTTCACGGGATTCGTTTCCACGGTGCGCAAAAGTGCCTCAGCCGCGGGCAGCCGCAGTGCTTCCCAATTACTATTTGCCGGCGTATAAGATGACCCGGCATATAAGACGACCCCCCCAATTGGAGGCATCTTTTTCAGGGCAAAAAAGTCGTCTTATACGCCGGCAAATACGGTAGTTTAAAAGTGCATTATTATTTTTTCCCTACCCACAACTCAATTATGGTTCTCTCAACCTGCACTGAGTAATAAAATGGTGCATTTTTAATTATTTAAAAAAAAGGAAAACAGACAACAGATTGAATTTATACAGAATTACATATAATATAGAGTACTTCATCTAGCTAATGAATGGGCTTCCCATGACTTGCTGAGTATTGTAGAAAATTAAACTGGTTGGGCTGTTGCTACATATCAGAATAAGTGATCTTATATTTTTTTAGGCCTTAGATCTTTCCCATTTCTTCTATATAGATACCCTTAGTCAAAATAGGATTTTTCCAGTATATGTGGAATATGTGGTATATTTGATTTTAACTTAATATGTCAGGTGAGCCTAATGTCACTTCTAGACTTTAGATTATGGCGTTATAGTGTTGTATTGATTCAGTTTTAATATATTCAAACAAATTTGATGAAACAAACCTTGGCTTAGAACATCCATGGAGATTCTCAGTCATCCGGGTCATGGTTGTCCCAAAGGTGCTTTTTGAGGAGGCAATTGGACTGTCTTGTTTTTCTCTGAAGACGTTTAGTTTCTCATCCAAGAAGCTTCTTCAGCTCTGACTGGATGATGGGGAATGAAAGGATTTATATTCCTTGCAGACAGTTGATCATTTGCATTCTTTTAGAATAGTTGAAAATAAATCCTTCCATTCCACACTACCCAGTCAGAAGTGAAGAAGATCCTTGGATGAGAAGTGAAATGCCTTCCAAGAAAAACAAGAAAGTCCAGTTGCCTCCTGAAAAAGCACCTTTGGGACTTGGCTTAGAAAAATAGGGCAACTAGATTTCTATGGGAACTCAATATTACCTCCCTGTGTTTCTTCTTTAGTCTCTCCATATTATCGGACGAAATTACGTGGCCTCTATACGACAGCTAAGGCTGATGCAGAAGCTGAATGCAAGTGAGTATATCTAAATTTCATGCTTCTGAAAAGAGAAGGCAACTCCTTTTCATGTTGCTTCTTTTCCCTCTACCCAGCATCCTCCGCAAGGACTTGGACAAGATTGCTGAGATAAAGTCTCTTTTGGAAGAAAGGCGAATTGGTGAGTGCTGAAAAACTCTGACTAAGGAAGAGCAAATGGGTTGCTTGAGCTTTTGCAAAAATGTTGGGTGCTATCCCAAGATTTAAAAAGTTTTAATTATTCAAGCAGCCTAAAAAAACAGGATGCATATGCATTTTGGGGGCGGACTTCTCTTCAATTAATAAAGGTAGTCCTCAAGTATAATAGCAATTGGGATCAAAAATTTTGCTGCTAAGCGATGCAGTTATAAATTGTGACTGCATTGCTTAGTGATAATGATCCCTACATGCCAATGTCCATTAACTGAATTGCAGCAGTTGTTAGGCAAGGACATCCTCCCAACAAGGAGACATGGTGGCTCAGTGGCTTAATGACACTGGAGATGGTTCTCAGTTCTGGTAGTATGAGCCCTAGCATTGCATGTCAGGGTGAGTTCCTGTCACTCACCTCGGCTTTTGTCCACTTAATAGTTCGAAAGCATGTTCTATGCAAGAAGATAGATAGGTACCACTTCGGAGGGGAGACAAACTGGTGCTCTGTGCAGGCAGTCAGTTCCTGTGGTTGTGAATCTTCCCGCTTGCAACACCCGCTTATGAGGCAGTTCTGGAAAGGGCCTTGGGTGATGCTGCAGGAAAACACATTTGTCTTTCCAGTGTGAAGCCAGCTCTCCCTCCTGTGGGACACCTTGGGAAGCACCCAATTATTGCCTGTAAGTGGCCTGGTACCTTGGGAAGCCAAACTAGTACCCTGCAATAGCATTGTGGTCTTCTGGCTACTGTAACAACGCCATACACTAATAATAATACTTGCAACTTCCAGTTGGCTTCCCACAACTAAAGTCAATGGGCAGCCCCCTGGGAGTTGCAAGTCACAAGAGGCTTGCAAGCAGGCAGGCAGATAAGTGGTTTTTGCCAGGATGTGAGGGATGTGAAGCTTAGGAGGATGTGCAGGGATGCATAAATGGCCAGGGTGGAGCAAGAGCAGATGGGCTTGGGGAAATGGTGTGGGTGGGAGAGACTTATCCCAGAGACTTGCAACCTTCCTTGCTGGCATTCCCATTGATGGGAAGCCCATCAGGGAAGGTCACACATGGCAGTCACGGCTTGCAGAGCGCAACGACCAATTTTAAGTATCAGCTGGTTGCTAAGGGCCCAAATTGCAACCATATGATTGCAGGGGTGCTGCGATGAATAGAACTTTGAGAACCAAGTCTTAACCACCATTTACTCAGCACCGTTGAAACTTTAGTCACTGAACAAACGGTCATAAGTCAAAGACAACCTGTAGTCAAGTCTAGTCCTTTCAGATCTGGACTGCAAACATTTAGTCAACCACTAAAGTCAACGACTACCAGATGGTAGCAAATAGATGTACAGTTTAATGCTTTAATGCTTTGCTGCCAATTAGTGATTATCTATATTTTTGCAGTCCAGTCCTGGTAATCCTAACCAGGTTGTGCCAGAAAGAAATTGAATAAGAATTCGTTGCTCCTTCCAAGAAATAGGTAGAAAAATTGGGAAAAGATGAAGTGTTATTTTGATGAAGCTAATTGGCTTCTGTTACTGGGTTAAAAAAAATCATTCTAAATCAAAGTTTGTCTTTAAGTATATTTGAGGAACAAACATAGGGAGCTGGTTCATGGCAGACTGTTGTGCCATATTTAACAAACTATGTGCAGCATGTAAACTCAAATAGATCCTGGATAGGTTGGGGAATAGTGTTCAATGTGTTCTTGAATGTCTGATGCATCAGCCCTTTTATTCATTTTCCTAATTTGAATAATTGCATTGGGATGCCTTCCCATCAGTTAAGCATCTGCTAAGCTGACCAAGAGAACCCTGCGGTTCCCAGAAATTGTAGTCAAAATTGGGCAGGAAGTTTTGGGCTGTGCCTCAGAGTGAGTGAAGGTGAGAGTTTGTAACTAAAAGTGGAAATTCTCTCCCAGAATTTGAAGCTTATCCCTCAAAGACTCAATGCTAGGATCAAGAACTCTTCTGAGGTAAACTTAGAAGAAATCCACTGCCATAAGCTGATATCTGCCAGGAGAGTGCAGTACGTAAACAAAAGACAAAATGAGAAATGTGACGTATTGATACATTCGCAATTCCCCGTGACAAAGGAATGAAAAGTCTTTGCAACCTCAGCTCTTCTTTTTTTAAATTTAGATTATATCACTCTTTCCATTCAAGACCTCAAATTTACCTACACAGTGCTCCTTTCTCTTCTGTCATACTGTTGTAGAGCAAGGGTGTCAAACTCGATTTCATTGAGGGCCACATCAGGGTTGTGTTTGACCTCCGAGGGTCGGTGTGGGCGTGGTCATTGTGGACGTGCTCAGGGTGGGTGTGGCCATGGTTGGGGTTTGACACAGGCTCAAGATACATTGTTTTCCCCTTTGCATTCCAAACAGCTGTTCTAGACAAAGGGAGATTTACTTTTTGGCACAAATAGTCTCAATTCCATAATGTAGAGTTTAAAGACATGTAGCTATGGGGCTTGACTCTTATGTATAGAAGCAGATCTTAATATCTGCACAATATTGTCAGAACAGATATATTCAAAAGCCTAATGTAAATTAAAACAACTTAAAGAACATCCAGGATATTATATTTATACTTACTGGGTTGAATGATAAATTATACAGGGATCTTCAAACTTCACAGCTTTAAGATTTGTGGACTTCAACTCCCAGAATTCCTCCTCCAATCATGTTAACTCAGGAATTCTGGGAGTTGAAGTCCACAAGTCTTAAAGCTGTCAAGTTTGAAGACCCTTAGAACCTTAAAATACTTTTAAACAAAACAATTCATTTCTCTTTAATTCAGCCATATCCCCTGTTTTGTCTTCTCCATATATTAATCTGTCTGCCTTATTTATGGCATTTCTCCATCCCCAAATAATACAATTGTACATTCTTTGTTATTGCTTGGGCAATATCAACTCAGGTTTCCCTTTTCCCTGTTGAATCTATCCTTTGAAATATTAACTAACTCTATGTAGAATACTTTAGCTGACCCTCCCATTTTTCATTTTTCATAGAGTTCTTTGAAAACATTAAAATTTTATTCCAGATATCCATTGTAAAGAGGAACACTGTACAACACAACAAAATCATCATAATATGTTGCAAAATGTCTAGAAAGATTCAGAAAATATGCATGCTATGTGGAAACATTTCCAAGTCCATTTGGACTACAACTGGATACATAATTAAATCTCACTGACTTCAGATACCTGCATACCTGACAAAAGCTGTCTTCTGTCTGCCAGATTTGCACCATCCAGTCATAATATGATTTCATTTTGATTCTGTGTGTTCTGTAAATTCAGCCATTTGTGCTTTAAACAGTAAATCACAATTTAGAAATAACCCCTGGACGCTTTCATATGACATACTGCATTAAAAAAAAAATCTTATAGCTTGTGCATACTACCAAATCAAATCAAATCAAACCTTTATTGTCAATGCATAACATGTGTAGAATGAAACTAAATGAGCCTCCCTTGGTGCAGCCCCCTCAAAATACAAAATACACCTCAATAACTCAATAAATGAAAGAAATAGAATCCCTAAACCTAAATAAGTAATAACTAACACACATTCCCATATACCTATATGTATGTAACATTATATTACACCGGTATGAACATGTTGCATGTTGTGCTGACCCTGCAAATCTGTCATATTAAACCTAATTGTGGTGTTATGTTGCGTTCTGAAGTACCATATCCTACATCCAATCATGTTCTGTATTTTAAGTTTTTAGGCTCACTTATCTTGTTTACAAACCATTATGGGGGAGACAACACAATCCAGTTGTAAAGTCAAAACCAAGCAAATTACATTCCAGCCACAGATAAGTGAGCAAACTCTTTGGATTAGGCTTGTTTCATACTTTTAAACTGGATGAAACCAGGAATCGTGTAAAGCAGCCAACAGGAAGGAAGATAGAGTGCATGGGGCTGAGAAAGAAACATATAAAACTTACACCCCCCTCAGTGGCTGCTGTAGGAGGCCATCGGGGCTGAAAACAGACCTCCCACAGCCCATTTTCGGCCACCGGACTGCTGTAGGAGGCCATGAGGGCCAAAAATGACCCACGTGCATCTCCCATGGCCCATTTTGATCAGCAGAGGCACCATGGGCTGGTCCTTTGTTATTTCCAGGCTAGCCCCGTGGGGCCAGATTTAAGCACCCCATGGGCCTTAAGCAGGGGTGGGATTCAAATTTTTTAACAACCGGTTCTGTGGGTGTGGCTAAGTTGGTGGGCGTGACTTGGTGGTCATGTTACTGGCTGGGCGTGGCCAACTCAATATCACTCATCAAGGTACGCATCTCACCTAGCCTCTTATGACTGTGGGAATACTGCAACAGTCGTGAGTGTGAAAAATGGTCTTAAGTCACTTTTTTCAGTGCCCTTGTAACTTTGAATGGTCACTCCACACAAGCAAAGTACCAGCAAAGGAAGGAAAGAAAACTCCAGAGAAGTTCCAGGGACAGGAAGTCTAGTCCTGCCAAGAATTTAATAAGGGTTAACGGAGAGGCAGTTTCTGTAAGCAACACCAGAATTCCTTACAGGATTAGGCCAGTAATTTCTTCTAACAACCGGTTCTCCGAACTGCTTAGAATGTTACAACCAGTTCTAGCAAATAGGTGCGAACTGGTAGAAACCCACCCTTGGCCTTAAGTTTGACACCCCTGTTGTAGAGCATAAAGTTACTGTGTTCTTGATATGGAAGTAAATTTGATTGACAGGTTCATCTAAACGCTGGGAAACTGCCTGCAAAGTTTATTTCCTTGGAATATTGAAAGTGTTTTTTTTCTTTTTTAAGATTAAACCATAAGTCTGGTTTTGCCTTGGGTTGATTGATTGATTGATTCATTCATATTGCATTATATTGGTTGAGACACTTCCGTCCACAATTATAGTTGCACTTTTCTGGTCTGCTTCCCTCTCTTCTCACAGCTGCCAAGATTGCTGGTCTCTACAATGACTCTGAGCCGCCACGTAAAACCATGCGCCGTGGAGTGCTGATGACTCTTCTCCAGCAGAGCGCCATGACTCTTCCATTGTGGATTGGGAAGCCTGGAGAAAAGTAATTGCTGGGAAGGTCTGGTGGGTTAAGAGCACCTGAAGTCGCTCTTCAGCCATGAATGAGGCCCTTTTGTCTGATTTCTTGTGCAGGCCACCTCCCCTTTGCGGTGCCATCCCTGCCTCTAGTGATTATGTGGCCAAACCAGGAGATAAGGTGGCAGCTCGTGTCAAGGCTGTTGACGGGGATGAACAGTGGATCTTGGCTGAAGCTGTGAGCTACAATCATGCCACCAACAAGTGAGTATACATGGGACTATAATAGTGACATTGAGGGTCTTCAGGCTGTGGTGTTTTAAAAATTTTAATAGATGGAATTTCTACATTAACAGATAGCGTTTTGCTAATTAAGAACAGTGGTTGTTTCTATACCATAGCAGTGGAGAAGGCAATCCCATCTACCAGACCAGCCTGGCGGATGCTGAAAACAGCTGAAAGTGTGGCATTCACACCCTAGAAGTTACAGTAGTTTACAGGGACAGCATTGCCTGCAATTCTCGTTACTCGTTGCTTCTAAGCACACGCTTCCCACAATCTTCCAGGGCTTAGATGCCACACTTTCAGCTGTTTTTGACACTGCTTGGTTTCCCCACCCCTGCCAGTCTGGTCTGGTCTGGCGTGTGGGTGGGGAATTGCTTTCCACCTTCCTTCCACCACACCACAAATGGGAATTGACCATTCCCCAAGCCATGCTGCTGTCAAAAGTAGATCCCAGGTGCTGCTGAACAGAGAAAAAGCGGAGCGAGGGAAGGAAAGGAGGAGCATGGAGAAGAAAGAGGGAAAGTGGTACATACCAGCCAGCCAGGCACCGAAGTACCGCCACTGCAGCAAGAGGAGAGGTGTGTGTGTGAGAGAGAGAGAGAGAAAGAGAGAGAGAGAGAGATCTGATTCAATGTCGGAGAGTTATACCAGGATTGGCGGTGTTCTCTTTCTCTCTCCTCCTTCCTCTTCCTCCCCCCCCCCCCCCTCTACCTCCTGCAGTCAGCCTCTGTGCGGTCTCCTCCTCCTGTATGTACGAGGGGGTGGAGGTGCCGGGTTGGGCCTTGTGATTAAAAAAACAACAACAAACATACCTCCAAAATAAGCTTAAAGAAGATAAGACCGGGTCTTATTTTCAGGGAAACATGGTACAGTGTGTGTGGATGTGTGCATACATAATGTATATGGATACTTGATTTCCTTATTGATAGGCCTTAGTTTGTGCGAGTTGAAAGAAAAGTTTACAATGCTATCTTGCGTATGCATTCCCCACAGGAATCCATACGCGATGACCCATGACTGCTGTGCCAAGCCTGCTATGAATCATACTGTGAAGTATGAGGATGACACGGCAGTGGTGGGGTTTATCCGGGATGACATTGAAGATTCTTGTAGGGAGGAGGTAAAAGCTTTGATGGAGTGGATGAAATACCTGGCTTTGAATGTTAACAAAACAAAGGAGATCATTGTTGAATTCAAAAAGAGCCAGCATAGTCATACTCTACTTCGTATCAAGGCTACAGCTGTGGAAGTGGTTCAATAGGATCTGGGAGTACAGATAACTAACTGTCTGGTCTCTCGACACATCATCCTTAGTGAAGCATGCAAATCAGCGTCCGCATTTCCTGCATCAGTTGAGGAGAGCACATCTTTCTGCTTCTGTCCTGGCCACTTTTTACAGAAGCATGATTGAAAGCATTTTAACAAACTGCATCACTGCCTGGTTTGATGGTCACAATGCCTCAGAAAATCCCTACAGAGAGTGATAAGGACAACCAAGAAGATTATAGGAAACTCATTTCCTGTTATTCAGGATACTGCTTATAAGCATTATGTGCTTAGAGCTCAAAGCATCGTTAGAGACCCCGCACACCCACCTCATGGTCTGTTTCTGTTGCTCCCTTCTGGGAGGAGGCTTCAAAGTATCTATAGCAGGACTACTAGATTCTGTAACAGCTTTGTTCCTTATGCCACCTGTCTTGTAAACTCAGTGTATTTGTATACACCCAAACTAGATTGTGATGTTTCTCTGAGTCATATATGTGTGTTTGAGTGGGTATATGTCAGAGGTGGTATTCAGCAGGTTCTGACCAGTTCTGGAGAACCAGTAGCGGAAATTTTGGGTAGTTCGGAGAACCGGCAAATACCACCTCTGAGTGGAGATTTTACAGTATCCTTCCCCTGCCACGCCCACCAAGCCACTCCCACAGAACCTGTAGTAAAAAAAAATTGAATCCCACCACTGGTATATGCATAATGATTATCTTTTGAGAGCTGAATGCAACCAAATTTCATTTTAATGTGTGCTGATTAGTGTACATTTAATGCGACAATAACTTTTTTTATTCTATGTGCTTCATGCCTATTGAGCCTAAACTACGACATTAATATGTGCAAGGATCCAAAAGAGATTCCTGTCTGAGAAGTCAGAAATGTGTTGGATTGATTTTGAAAACATGGCAGAACCATCTTTTTCAAAAAGGACTTCATAGACTTACTAGTGTGTAGATTTATATGTCATCCCAGATCCTTTCTTCTTTAGCCTTCAGTCTTGTTTTTCAACAGCCACCATTTTCTCAAGTTGAAATAGAATGGTCCTAAGACAGGATGAGAATAGGAGAAGGCAGAAAAGAGAAAACTAAGCTGGTCAACAGTTTAAAATCATTGATTTCCTGAGATCCGTTTTAGTCAGGGACTCCAATTTTCCTAATTTAAATATTGCTAACGGAGGCTCCAGATTTAGGTTTCAGGGGGTTGTGCAGGGGGAGAGTGTCTAGTTAGTCCTGCTCAGTCATAGCTTTTGGTCTCTCAGTCATGTCTCCCCATGTTAAAGAAGTCCATATTAAACCATTCTGCAGGTTATTCCTACTTCAAGGAAGGTCTCTTTCTTTTCACTGCAGTACCAGAAATGGCTGCAGAGCTTCATTGATATACATGCTAAAATTTAAACAATAGACAAGATTCTGTGCTGGTAATTGTTATTATTGGTTATCTTTGTAGTGTGCACTAACCACATTTTCCCTGGAAGGTTGCAAAGTTTTACTGGTATGCTTTTAACTTTTCATTCTAATCTGAACAAATAAACAAATGAAAGGAAGGTGGATTTTGACTTTTTAACTATTCCATGGATGTATTGTGCAAGAATTCATTTTGGTAACTTTTTCTCTGGGAGCATTCCATTTGGATTGCTTCAAACTCTCATTCACCATTTTCTCTTCTTCAGATACGAGGTGGATGACATTGATGAAGAAGGAAAAGAGTAAGTGATGAAGGGATTGTTATAAAGATAGAAATGCGCCTTATGAGGCCCCAGGTCCTAGAACCTTTGAAAGCAGAGATTTCCAAAATACTTCTCAAAATTTCTAATGTGATTAGGGGAAGATTAAATATATGTCAGTAGTGCATGCATATTTACCTTTTAAACCTTAATTATATTTATAATTAAAATGAAACATATGTATATTTTATTTATTTAATTTCCATAGGCACCTATCTCAATCAGTGACTCTGGGCAGCCTACATCATAAAAACATTAAACAATAAAGAGTAAATATATATGGTTGTCAAGTAAATATTGCAATAGATATTAATATAGCCAAAAAATGGGGCCCTTAACACACTTGGGGACCCAGCCCCCAGCACATAACTAGGTCTTTGTAGCCTTGTAAAAGTCCAGCAGGGTTGGGGTCATCCTGATATTTGATGGGAGAAAGTTCAGAAGAGAACATTGCAAGTTTTGGGGAACCCTGAGTGTTCCCCAGTCTGCTTCCTGAAATTCACCTGTGTCCCTCAGCACCTCCCCCCACATATTTTCCCCTTGAATTATGGGGGTTTATGAGAAATCTGCACATCTTGACTTCTGCTTTTCCACAGGCGTCATACCTTGAGCCGGCGTCGCATCATCCCTCTGCCTCAGTGGAAGGCCAATCCTGAAACAGACCCGGAGGCCTTGTTCCAGAAGGATCAGTTAGTCCTCGCCTTGTACCCACAAACCACCTGCTTCTACCGAGCCCTTATCCACGCTCCACCTCAGCGGGTAAGGACAAGGCCATAAGAGTTTTCCTCAATAAATGGTCCAGACTGTAATATTCTGCAACTGGTGTTAGAATGGCTCATGCAGATCCACCTGATAGAATAGCTGACCTGTCCTTCTGTCTGACCAAAGGCCCATTGAGTCCTGGTCTAAGAAACCTCTTGGTCTGGCCCGTAGCTCTTTCTCCTGTTCTCTAGGTAATAATTACAGAGTAACTCTGTTGATACTAATAGAGCAGGAATCCCTGGTCCGTGGCCCAGTGCCAGGCCACAGCCCATTTAGAATTGGACCACAGAAATGATGGGCGAGTGTGTGCTCACATGGGCCTGTGCCCAAAGCTGCATTCGTGAAAGCAGCACACATGCGTAAAACCATTTCTTCTCCCCCCACCACCACTGCCTCCACTGGTCTGCCAAGTGAGGAAGTTTGGGGAATCCTGTAATAGAGCATCAAACCATAGGTTGCTAGCATCTTATCAACGGAGAAGCCAGCAAAGTAATTTATCTTTCCTGGAGTAACATGTTAAGGACTTTGCTGGTTTAGATAGCACCAGGTGTGGATGGAGCAGGAGTTTTAAAAAAATTAACAGAAAACTATCAACATTATTCGCCAATGTTTAATAGTAATCTAATAGCAGGGAGAGAAGGAGCCTGAAAACTGCACATCATTAGTCAGGACCCTATCTCAGACTCTAGTTTGCTTGGGTGGAGTAGAGCAGAACAGAACAGAATAACAGAGTCTGAAGGGACCTTCAGACAAATGGTTGTCCATCACCCTGCTCAGGCAGGAATTCCTATACCATTTCAGACAAATGGTTGTCCAATCTCTTCTTACAAAATTGGAGCAGTTACAACTTCTGGAGGCAAGGTGTTCCACTGATTAATTGTTCTAACTGTCAGGAAATTTCTCCTTAGTTCTAAGTTGCTTCTCTCCTTGATGAGTTTCCACCCATTGCTTCTTGTCCTGCCTTCAGGTGCTTTGGAGAATAGCCTTTTCTTTGTGGTTGCAACCCCTTGTCTTCCCTCCAAATCAACTACCTCTAAAAATTCTTTACAGAAAATTGCTCTCAATTTATTTATTTTCACCATTTCATTTTGCCAAATTCAAAATCCTTGATGTTTTCTTCAGCACTGGAATTTCACCTGATCAGTGTTACATTGCTTTGCCCCTTAGCTATCGTATTCCTGGTTTAGCAGGAATATCCGTCTCTGTCTTAAATTAGTAATGCAGATAGAAAGGAAATAGATTTGAAAGTCAAGCTTTCTAAGAAAAAAAAGAAGCTAAATAACAATTAGCTGAGGAACAATAATGGGAGATGTTATATTCTGGATCAATAACAATTATTTTAAATGTGCTGAGACATAATGGTGAAGTAGCTAAGTTGCTAGTGTATGGAAGGAAAAATATATCTTATTAGATCTATGAATGCAGAGGCATATAATTGGGGTTGCTACTTCATTATGCATTACATGTTTTATGATTATAATTTATAATTATGAAATTTGAGATATAAGCTTCAAGAGATGGATGGATGGATGGATGGATTAGACAGAGAGAAAGACAAAGAGACAGATGAGAGAGCGAGATCAAAGACAGATTAAAAGTTCAAAGAATTTTCTTCCATCAACAGTTGGCAAATGACTGTTACGAAGATATGTGTCAGTGCATGTTCTTTGTAGCTCTGGATACAGGAAAGCAGGAATCTGTTTGAAAATTTTCCCAATCCATTCATAATTGGGGTCTTAAAAGGTTCTGTGTGTATCAGTAAGATGCAGCTGTCTATTAGTAAGACAGTTTAGTACTGCAGGAGTGAAATGTGGAAATGGCTTGAAAAGTGTGGGAAAGAACAGGAAGAAGGGAGATAAAGAAGGATGGAGAAGCATGAAAAGAAAAGGAAGCTGCTTAATAATCCAGTGGAGAGCATGAATGAATGGCCATCCCTCTGTAGAAGGTAACTAAATCCATTCTTTTTCTTGGCTTCAGCCCCAAGATGACTACTCGGTCCTCTTTGAAGATACCAGCTATGCAGATGGCTACTCTCCCCCTCTCAATGTAGCTCAGCGCTATGTTGTGGCTTGCAAAGAAACAAAGAAGAAGTGACATTGCCCTGCACCAACAGCTTGGTGAGGAACAAGGTCTATTCCAGTGAACTTCTGCAGAAGGACAGTGAATGAAGCAGGAAGCAACAGAAGCCCATCAAGAGCAGGAGTTTATGAATCTAAGAACCTTGCCTTCCAATTCAACACAGTCAGCTTTGTGAAAAATAATTACATGATTACTTCCAAAAGTTACTGTATATACTCGAGTATAAGCCTAGTTTTTCAGCCCAATTTTTGTGCTGAAAAAATCCCCCTCGGCTTATACTCGAGTCAGATTCCCCTCTGAAAAAAAAATGGTGTGGAGGCGCGGCCTCCGGCGGCAGCGACTCCCAACAGCCCCAGCCAGGAAGGGAAAGGCAAAAAGCGCTTTGCCTTTCCCTTCCCGAGGCGGTGGGACTGGGGCCGCGCCGGCGGTAGTGACTCCTGACTCAGGGGGCCTCCGAGGGAGGGGAAGAGAGTGACTCCTGCCTCCCGCTGTCATCATCATCTTCTTCTTTTGGGTTAGTGAATCAATTAAACCTTTCATGATAGTGAGATCGTTTCCCAAATTAGTTATTTTTATTTTTGAAATTTACCAGTAGCTGCTGCATTTCCCACCCTCGGCTTATACTCGAGTCAATAAGTTTTCCCAGTTTTTTTGTGTAAAATTAGGTGCCTCGGCTTATATTCGGGTCGACTTATACTCGAGTATATACGGTAATTACCATGGCAGGAATCAATAGTTGCTTTCGAAGCAGCCAACTACAATTCTTTGAGTAAAGAAAAGACAATTGTTTGCTATTTGTCAGTGTTGTTATTTGGATTTTTTAAATTTTTCCCTCTTGCAGCTGTTTTATTTTATTTAGGCTGTCCTTTTGATATGCCTCAGATTAATGAAGTATTACTTTAGATTCTTTTCTAGTTATTTTTTCCCCCTGTATTAAGAAGATTGCAAAACATCCTGCCTTGGAGAAAAGATTTGGAATTAAATCCAGCAATTGAAACACAAGGACTTGACCTGAATTTCTAAAGGAAAGTAGGAGGGGATTGGGGAATTTATTTTTATTATGGTGTTAAAAGGATGACTGGTCAGCTATGGAAAATAGTTTTATTGTTTCTTTTTTTTTTTTTTGAACAAATTTTATTAATTTTTTTTAAAAACATACACAAGCAAACAAAACATAGGATGTAGTAACATAAAATATCTTTTTCTAAAAAACACAGAATATCTTATTTAAAAACAAGATAGTTCCAAATTATCACATTTCTATACAAACACAATTTAATATATATGTATTTATCTTATCTGTTCAACTTCATATCCTTTCCCAACTTCTCTTTACTGCTCCCTTTCCTTCTGTTTAATTGTATTTCTTTTGCCTTAAATTATATATATTCATTATATATAGTTTCATTAATTCTCTTCCAACATCCTTTCAAACATAAACAAACATTACACAAAACATAAATACATAAAACTTCTTTTTGGAAAGCGGCTTACCCCGGGTTAGATCTTTTTGTACAGACATAAATCAAATTCGTGCTCACATAATATACTATTTCATATCTTATTTAACATTCTATATTTTCTATATATTTTCTCTCTCCTATTCATTCTTTTAATTCTATTTTACATATTTCATCTCAATTTAAATAATTATACTTGCATCGTTTGTCCGTTCTCTTTCAATCAGCTATTTTTCCTTTCTTTCTAATACAATATTTCTCCTGTAACCACTGGTTGAAGTATGACAACTTTTTATCTTTCCCCTAAATTTTACACTAATAATACATACTTTCCATACTGATTGTGCTTCGTACATTCTAAGTACTACATTTCCAAATAATAAAACAAGCCAATAATATTAAATTTAATAAGTAATAGTAAAACCAAGAAAAAAGGAATATTGAGTTTATAATATAATAAGAGTAATATTTCATAGTAAATTAAACTCTATTGTCAAATCTTAAACATTTTCATAGCTTCCCTTTAATACATTATTAATTCATGTAATATTTAAATTTTCTAATTCAATTTCAAATACTAATATCTACCATACAATCTTATGTACCCTGTTTCTCCAACAATATGGCCTCCCCCAATAGGAAGTCCCAGCATGTTTTATAGGCATGAAATGAAATTAAGCCCCTTTCCCCAAATTAAGGCCTATATTTAAACATGCGAAATGGGGGAGGAATGGCAGGGGGCTTGCTGTTAGGAAGTACTTTTGTTGCACACCCGGATATGGTGCTGCCTGCGTTGACCCTGATACAAAGTGCCCCTCCAACGCCGAGGTCAACATCCAAGCCATTGCCGCTCGCCTGCCCAAAGATGCAAGGGGGGTGTGAATTAAGTCACCCCCCGAAAAGACAGCCTAGCCATTTTTTCGGGGCTCAAAAAAAAATAAGACCCGGCCTTATTATATGAGAAACACGGTACTTTTGCAGAATCATTTTTATAAAATTATATCTTACCCCTTATCTCTGAAAAAAACCTGTTTTTTAACATCTTGTTTAAAGCTTTTATGACTTCTCTTTCCTTTTCCCTTCCTTTCTTGTCAATTCTAACTTTTTGACACACACCCCCCATCTCTCAAATTTCACTCTCTTTATCTTCCCTCTCTGTTGTATTTCTCTTTTCTGTTGCTTTCTGACATATCGATTTTTCATCTAATTTTTCTTTTTCTTGGTTGCTTTTTTAAGTCCTGAATTCACCATTTCTTTACCCCCCTTACGCTTTTCTTCCTCCACTAAGAGTATTTGTCCATTAAAGATGGCTTCTTCTTCTTGATCCCAGCCTTCCTGTCGCTGTTGTATTTCTTGATAGGTAGAAATCGCCATTTCTAAAAAGTGGAAAATAGATCCAGAAGAGCCCATGCCTTCCTGTTCCTCTTCTTTCAATTTTTGAAATTCCATTTGTAATTCTTCAAAAGATAATGCCATTTTTCCCTTTTTTTGAAACAACCCAAATATCTTTAATCTTTCAAGATCCCAAAGTCACAAAGCAAACCAAATCAAAGCAAACAGTTTCATTTAGCACTTTCTTCTTTCTATATTTTCTCTTCCTAGGGTAGAATTCAAATACACAGTTCCAAAGTAATCTTCTAGAAGTCGTAATACCTTTTATTTCTGATCTTATAAACTCAAAGCAGTCTCCTTCAGTACAATCTTAAAATAAATCTTTACCTCTTCCCTTCCTCTTATAGCAAATAAAAAGAATTTTAAGTTTTTAATTCCAATGTCCAGAAATCCTTTATCCCCTTGGCTTTAAATTTCAAGTTTACCTTCTATGCCCAAGCAGGTTTTCCAGATTTCCAACTGCTGTTTCTGTGGGAAGGGAGAGTGAAAGAAAGTAACTTTCCCTTTCAGCTTTTTTTCCGCTGCTTTTACCATCTTCCTTGGGAGACAATGTATCCTTCAAACGATTTAGTTTCCAGGGTATTTAAAAGTTTCTCCTAGTCCCGGTTCAGCCAAAACTTTCGCCTTCACCTGCTTCCTCCTGCACAAATCTTACCCGGCTGCAGGCTTCTTTGTGGCGGCCATTGCTGACCGCTGCTCCACCGCCTTGGGAAAAAGGGGTTTTGCTGGCTGAGGAGGGGGTTTGCGATACCCCCAAACCCAAATCCGGATCCCCTCTCTCTTCGGCTGCCTCTACGGGGCAGCCCTATCCTCCAGATCCGTCTGGATCGGAGGAACCTCGGCAGCGAGTACAACAGGAATCGCGGAAGATCGCGAATTCCTGCCGCCGCCAAGCCTTGCAAAACCGGAAGCCAAAAATAGTTTTATTGTTTCTATTGCACATTTTCCAATTTCATTCATTTCACCATTTGCAAAAAAAAAACACCTAAATCAAAGGGGTATTGCTATTCTGATGTGACTAGAATTTCAATAGAATCTTTTTCAAAAATTGGAACATTTTCAAAACTAGGGGTGATGATGTGGAACTAGTCTCAAAACAACAGATTGCATAATTTTATTTTATTTATTGCATAATTGTAACATTTAAACCACACAAGAATAAAAATATAAAAAGCAAAGTAGAAAAGAAGTAACTAATAAAAACATGCTATGAAGAAAAAAGTTCATAATGCATTCAATAATAATTGCCTTCAATAGAAATTATACAATCAAAAGTTTTAAGAAGTATGTCAAAGCAGAGCATATCTATATAATTTTTTTTTTAAGTTATTGGTAAGTGCAAAACACCCGATAATGGCAGCTCTCAATCTCTAGAATTTTCAACGGGAAGAATTATGGAGCTAGAAATTGTATTTCCAGAAAGGGGACATTATAAACATTTGATTTATTTCTTCTTTCCCTGCAGTTTTAGAAAGAACCCTTAAGCGACGTAACATCATTCTTCATCTAATGAGACTCACTTTGCATCCTAAAAATGTTCTCTTACTGCTTTAGATAATACTACCTAACAGACCAGATTTTTTTTCTTAGACTTCAAAGTATCGTGATCAAGAGTTCTTAGAAACTTAAAAACTTGTACCTGTGTCATAAAACTTTTTGGCCAAATAAAAATTGTCCCAACGGTGCTTTTTAAAAAGATAACTAGATTTTCTTAGAGGTTTTTTTTCCTTGAAAATGTTTCACTTCTCATCCAAGAAGCTTCTTCAATTCTTCAGAACTGAAGAAGCTTCTTGGATGAGAAATGAAACACTTTCAAAGGGAAAAAAGAAGTCCAGTTGCTTTTTGAAAAGCACCTTCATGACTCGGATGATTAAGAATCTCCATAGACATTTTGCCCAATAAAATATTTATAAACTTAGGGGGAAATGGGAAAAAGGACAGCATTGTTTCTTTGTAAAGAGAGCTGTTTATGCAAATATTCAAAAATAAATTCTAGTTGGTATCAGCTAGAAATGGCTTTTTTACCTACCAAATTTTTGAAGAGATTTATTTTTGTTTAAAAACAGAAACAATAGCTGTCATGTAAATGTTTCATGTGACCCTTTGTTGTTGAGGAAATTGACAAAAAATTCATGGCACAATGTTCCTCAATAAATCGAGCTTGAACTGAGAATAAACAAAATCTTACCAAATAAACCTGGGCTTGCTACCACCTGTCAGTTTTCTTTTGTTTCAGGAGGTTGTGAGAGGATAGGAATGGTTACTGCCCTGAATAAAATTAATCAATAGGCCACCAGGTTGAAAGGCTCCTACTATTATTGCTGACTTTGGGACTTTTCGGTTGGTGT